TTTGAAAACAATTCCTCATCATTCTCTTCCCCTTGCTGTACCTCTCAGCAACTTCTACTCAGTCCTGTAGACATGTTCCAGCAAATGCCAGACTATTCATGAAGGACTATAAATCGTGTACACAATCCCTAGAGTAGATTAGAGCTCAGGGTTAGCTGCATGAACTCGCAGTGTTATGGTTACGAGGGATTTAAGAGCATTATCTTTCCTGTGCAAACAGTACATAAAAGTTCTTCAGGGATTTTTCCATATTGCTCTGGTAGTTAAAGCAGATTATAGAATATAGTTTTAAAACTAAAAATAAGGACTTTTGTTTTTGTAATAAACACAATTTCTAAATTGGGAATGTACCTTTATATACAGATTAAGCTAAAAACCTCTTTTAAAAAAAAATAAAATCCATTATAGGCAGCAATATAGTGCTTTCAGCATGTGTTATATTTTTTTTGTCAGTGTATTTGTCTGCATATTGGCATTTAAAAAAATTCCCAAGATGATATATCATCCTTTCAGAGATATAAATGAAAGTGTATCTACATTTGTTCAAACTATAAAACTAAAGGCAATGAGCCCAGCAGAATGATCTGTGCAGCATTTACTGGTTGTCCATGAAGAGCAGGCTGGTCATGTAGTGCTGCCTCTCCTTGTTTCAGGTCTGGGGGAAAAACCCTCAAAAGACCATTTCCCTGATGTTCCTCTGTGTGTGTGTGTGTGTGTGTGTATGTATGTATGTATGTATGTATATGTATATACATACTAGGCAGTGCCTAGTTGTTATGGGAAAGTTATGTGAACAGGAATTGGGGTGGGGCGTGAATTGGATAGGAGATTACTAAACTCCCCCTTAAAAGAGGGAGATTTGTCAACATGGCTGAACAGAAAGGGTCACATCTGTGAAATAAACTGGTTACTTTTGTTGTATCTTTTTCTCATTTATGGTATTTGGTAGTTGAAAGTGTGCTGTGTATTTAGATGTGCGATGTGTATACTGTACAGTGCATGATTGTCACTTTTCAGTTACTCATGTCACCTTGATTCAAATCTCTGTATTGCACAGATAGTAGAAAAGCTGTTTATTTTAGAAATATTTAGCAAGTTTAATAAAATACTGGAACTGTTTAGTTGTAGCCTTCTGCCTGTTCAGCCAGGTGCCTTGTCTAACTTAAATGCACACTGAGGCAGTGAAAATTTAATTTAAGAATAATGAACGATATCTAGGGACCTTCCCAAATGGAAGGCATAAATAGAAGCAAGTACTCCATCTGTTGGCTTTAGAAAGCTGAACATGTTTTTCCCCCATGTTTCGCTTGGATGGTATAAATCTCCCATTTCCAGCCCTGCAGGGTAACAAGGTATTTGATCCGAAACCCGTCTTTGATGTAAGAACGAATGGTCCACGTGCAACAGTTTGGGCTGTTGTAATTTTGGAGGCAAATCATGCAAGTTGGGTTCAAACAACTGCCATTTTATTTTAAGTCATTCACACATTTTGAGTATTAGAATAATTGTGGGGGAGACGGATTAATGGAAAGAATGAACATGAGGCAGTTAAACATGATAAATACATTTAATCACATTGATAACATCTCCACATCTTCTGTGTATTCTCAATCTGTCAAACCTAAAATGGACATGTTGGGTATTCATTCTCTAGACACTTTTTATTATTCCTGTTGGGGTGTAACTATGTATAGAATCTGACAAAATATAGCTACATAGTAGTGTTCTTACACTTAGCCATATATTATCATAATGTGCTAACACCTAACCACAGCTATGAACAAGAATAAATTAAAGGGAAATAATATTGTGTACTCGCTTTTAATATGCGACAGAAGAGAAGCAGCTGTACCATGACAAATTGTTCTCCTCACTTGCTTCTTCTGTCCTAGACAGACAGGATGAATTTGTGAGGTGTAACACACAGTGCTGGAGAGTAGAACAAACTGTTTATTTTCCATGGTTTGTGATGATGCATAATAGACTTATGTTTGCTTCTTTTGGTTTTATTTCAGAAGTTTCCATTTATGCCTTGTTTGGGAAGCAGAGCTCTAGTATATTTAAATACTTTGTCCTCCTGGTTAAGTTTCTGCTGTATATAGGAACAAATCCTGCAACCCAAAACTCAGAACAAGGAGTCCTTACTCACATAGATCGTTCCATTAACTATGTGGAAAAGCTATTTGTTTGTTTTTTACTGTATTTGCTAAGACTTCTCATTTGAGTAGAGGCTATTATTGTATGAGAGAGGCTAAAGGTATAGATACCTATTTAATGAAGATAATAGAATGTCTCTGCTCATTAATACACTTCAGATCTGTCATGCCTGAAAATGAGTGTGCAAAACTTGTGCATAAATGCGTAAGTAGAACCAGTTTACAACAGAGGATAAACACTGTCTGGTTCAAAACAAGCTAGAGACATCCTATCCTAAGAAGCTCATCTGCAAAGACCAAATGTTTGGTATTTTCTGGGATACAATATATAGTACATCTGAATTAAACATTCATAACTTTATGCTTCCACAGAAATAAGCTTATGGTCACGTGTGTGTGTGTGTGTGTGTGTGTGTGTGTGTGTGTGTGTGTGTGTGTGTTCCCCTGTCATTGCCCCATCCATCAAAAAAAGGTTCAACCAGCATGTACATAAGACATCTTCATACTAAATAGACCTTTCTGTGGCTCAAAGGGGAGGGGTGTGTGTTTTTCTCCCCCTGGCAGCCCTTTTTGGCTATATCTTTCTGTAGTTTAATAAGACTTTTTTGTCAGGGGTCAATGTGGAGAGCAGGAAAGAAAGATTATAACAACAGGAGGAAACAGGAAGAATCATGCTCTCATTTTCAATCTGTTTTTTATATTTGTTTTAATGTAAAACATTGTTTCAATTAAATGCTGACCTGTGTAATGGTGTGTGCTCACACATGCTTTAATGAATTCAGTCTTTGTTTGGAGAGCCGTGACCTTTTTATCCCTGTTCTGGATCATAGCTGCTGCATTTCAAACCCACTACTGATCAATGAAACTTCACTCAGATATGCTTACTAGCACTGGCAGCAAGAGTGCATAAGACCCATGTTCCTATTTGCCCTTTTTAAGGTTATATTTTCATAAAGGAAAAAGAAGGCACATTTTATTTACGCAAATAAAAAGGTAGACATGATACATGAAAAAAATCATCAAATAGACTTTTGGTTAAATTTGTACCTGATAGAAAGGATGTTTTAAATTGAAGAGCAGAGATCTTTATAATTTATTTGCTTTCCCCAAAGACATAACTTTTCCCTAGTAAATATGTAATCTTTTATTTTAAATTGTGCATGCCTTATGAATTAACTTCGTAAATACCTTTAACCTAAGGCAAAATGTGGATTGAATTGCTGTCCTGTTGTTGAAGCTATCTTTTTTTTTAAAATAACTTGCTGGGGGAAATAGGAAAGAACCACGATGTTCAAGAGAGTTAAATTTTTCACTTCTCTTGTGACTAGCATTGCAGCATCCCATTTGGTTTAAAGAAATGTTTTTATTTATATATCCTGTTGTTTCTGAATGTTTCAGACTAGGGGAAACCTGAATTACAAACATTTTCTTTTTATTGTATTAAAGATCCTGTGCAGTGAGTGCAGGTGCTCACGCTTCTGTAGTAATTGATGGTGTAAGGAGACTTTCCAGCTGTACTGATACACAGGGGAGATATTATATCTCTTCACACATTTTATGTATTGTAGGAAATGGAGGATTCCTGTAATTGTCCCAGATTTTCTGTGTCAAAGTTTGTAAGTGCCTCAGTGGAAAGAAGAATCTTCTGATTTATTTAAAAATAGCTTATCCCTTGTCTTTATTGTTTTTCTTTAGCATAGATTGACATATTTTGTTTTGTTAAAATTAATCAGCTTGATTAATCAGTAAAATTAAATTGTTAAAATTATTCTATATATGTCTTTTGGTGGCTCATCTGTAATGAACTGATACCACAGTAACTACCTTTATGTTTTGTAGAGCAAAATAGGTTAAATTTTGCCCTACAAAAGTCGATCTTTTTCATATTATAATGTTTTTTAAACAAGAGGGTAGTGGAAATAAACAAAGGAAGAAAACAAATTGATATTAAATCTTGAAAGACAAATTAAATGCAGGAAAATCTCTGGGGCTTTTGCATAGCATACTCTGAGTTCTCACTCCCCAAACAAGGCTTTAGCGCAGTCCCTTTCTGTATGGAACTGGTGAGATATCACTTAGTAGCTCAGTACCCATGAGTTTAGTTCTGGGTACCTCTGTACCCAGAGAGGGAAAAGATAAAACTTCTGAGGTATTTAATTGTATGGAAAGACTATGTGCATTTCATATGATTTGAGTAAACAGAGGAGAAAAGGAGTTGTGACTGTTAAGTGTCTGTAAGATGTGGACTTCGAAAAGATAAAAAAGCATGCACAGAGGTACTTAAGACATATAAAAAAAACACGGGGAAAGTTTTATTTAGGACACAATGAAAAAAACTCCTAGCAGTGAATTATATTGGATAGTGGAAAATGTCCCAATGAAGAGAGCAGAAATTTCATCACTTAAATCATTTTGGAGTACTAGAAAATAAACCAGTAGGATGCAAGCCTATACTGATAGGGGAACAGATGAGGTAGCCCATCTTGAATAAACTGATTATTCCTATATATCAGTCAGACATTTGTATTTTTTTCTCTTAAAAAGAGACTTAAAAAATTATCCTAACCAGTTTTGTTCTATTTTTTGTGGGCATCATGCCTATTTTTATCCATCCTTGGGACCAAATCTAGTATATATTCTACATGTAACCATAAGTTCCTCTTTCCCCTTTTCTTTCATTGGAAAAATCCGTTGTGTTCCTTGACCTAGTTAGAGCCTAACATTATGGTGATCTTTTTGAAGCTTATTTCCTTTCCAGTGCTGCAGTCTGTGCATATGTTATGTGTATATTGTCTTTGTGGGAAACGGGATGAAGTCAATGTATGTTTAATTTTTTTTTAATAGGTTTATATGCCTTGCGGAGAGCACTGGGAAAACAGACTAACCTATTAGACAGTGAGGTGGCTGGGTCAGTGATGATTACTTTCAATGACTTCCTGCAGGGGATGAATGATGTTAGGCCCAGCGCCATGAGAGAGGTAGCTATCGATGTACCAAAAGTAAGTAATATTCTACAATACACTAGAAGCATTGTTAAAGTTAAACTCAGAAAGGTCATACTTTAACTTTGAAAAACCTTATCCACAAAGGTTCATATTAGAAAAAAGTAGGCTCAAGTTACCAATCAATGTTATTTGCCAGCTTCTTTTTTTTAAACATTCTGAGTTTTATTTCTGGCATTGTCATTCAGAGTAACCAAATGGCACTGCAAGAGGACCTCTCATTAACTGTGTTCCACGTCCAGAGTCTCCAAATAGATTAAGGCAGGGCTATCTAGTGGGCCTCTGGGCCACAGGCTCATGGATGCACTACACCACATTGCACTGTATGCCTCCTTCCCCATGCCACTGCAACAACCTTGTGTGGATGCTCCCCCTGCAGGTGCTGCATCACATGCCCATGCAGATGCCCTATCGCTGTGCAGTGCCATGCCTCACGCTGACCATCCTGTGCTGTGCTGTATTGTGTCACAATACCCCCTGCAGTGGGCAGAAAACCTGGAACCCAGCATAGGAAGTGTGAACTGAAGAGATGTGGCCAGGCAGGAACTCAGGGGCTGCAAACTAAAACCCCTTACAGGCTTCATGCAACCTGTGTGTTGCTAGTTCTGCAGCGTTGGGTTAAAGCATTAAAAGTTTTAACATACAAGTTTAGAGTGTACATTTCACCTATTTGCACTGTAGCAACGAATTCAATCGAAAACAAAGTGTTGGCTTTGCTACCGGAGTATATGGAAATAAGGGAATGGAAAGGTGTGCCTGTTTTGCTTAGAAAATAGCTGATAAATTGTCTGGTTAAACAAAACTGGAATCACTGAAAGGAAGTGGACACAATTTACATGTTGTTGCATCTGTCACTGACTTAAATGAGATGACATGGCTTTGAAGGCAGAATGGGACTTCACCTGAGTCATTGCTGGTCAGCAGCAATCTCTTCAGAAGTCTGTTCTTCTCAGTGCTTCAGTGCTACTGTGGAATGTGCGTGCTCATTTGAAAAATATGAAATGAGAAAATAATGGTCCGGTCACATTTTGGATTGCCACCTTCTGTCACAAATTCTTTCACTGCATTCTTGTTTAGTCTACTTCTTAAAAACATTTTAGGCTTGTGGTTTTGATGCAGGGGAGCCATCTCAGCCTTGGAATATAGTAATCATTTATTTAAATATCAGTATTAGAGTAGTGCCGCAATGGATTGCCATTTGGAACCCTGTTGCATTTCATGTTGTACAAATATAGAAAAGAAATGGTCCTTTTCCCAAAGGTCTTGTAGTCTGCCTTCAATAATCATACAACTTAATCTTGTGTTGTTCTAATGGGCCCTGCATTACTCTATACAAACTAGGTATGCCTCCTAAAATAAAAAAAGCCAAATAAACAGTTTAGTAACAGAAGAATTTGTAACTATTACCATATTTACCCGAAGCCAAGATGACTTTAAATTTAAAATGACGCCCCCCCCC